GTGCTACTTCGTGTAGCCATCTGGTTCACCCATGTCAGCAGCACCAGGTGCAGCACGCCGCATACCAGTCAAGTCACTTTTGAATTTGACGCGGCCGATGCACTTGCCGACTTCAGACGACCGGAAGCGTCATGTCTACATCATTGCACGACTGCTCGACAAGGGCGCGACGCGCGTCCCACTGGCGATTGTGGCCAAGAAGCTCCTGCGGCTCGCCACCAAGATGGAGCAGCAGCTCTTCGAGGCGACGCAAGGCCGGCCGCTGGGCGAAGATTCAATTCGACACTACCTCGTCACCCTTGCCCATGCCGCGTGCAAGCGAACGGCGGCGAAAAGCCGCGTCGAGATCCTTCCGGTGTGACGTTGTCGGTGCCGTTTTCAACTTGGTGCAGTGGCCTCGGTGGCATGTATTTAAGACCATCTTTTGTGTGATTGAGATGCGTGTAGTACCTATCAAAGGTTGGGTTTGTGCAGTTCTTGGCTCGTACATCGCCCGCGTGTAGTACGACTAGCTGCGCGAATGCCAACTGCCCGTGGATTGCGGTGCAGGGCGTTCAAAGCGATGCTGGGCACGCATGCAGCCACGTCATCATGTTATCATTGTATCGTTTGCGTGAAGATCGTCACGTTTGAAGAATGTTAGGGAGGAATTCCGTGAGACAGAGAAATGGCAATGCTTCAAGGAACAAGAGAAACAACGATCGATAACAACATCTTTCATGTGTACCGATGGTTGCTCGTGAGCCCCGTGCTTCGACTGGGACAGCGGACACCACTGCATTCAGTACACCCCACGACTCTTGTCTCATCTCTGCGCCTCAAGACAAGCCATAGAGTCGTCGAAGCGGCATTTGGTTGATTAAAGTCGACCTTCATGTGTCGTGTCCTTTGTCAACCAGCTGATTTGCGGTACGAGCAGCGTCTAGGACGCAACCCATTCATATGCGGGTGGAGCACACGTCATACGCGTCCCGTCAAACCCGTGTGTTTGAATGATTAGTACAGACACTCGTAGCGACTGAAAGTGGTCGTTCAACTCTCTCGGTTCTTGGACGAGAGAAAAGTTGTCGCTGGCTTTTTTTGGCGAGAAATCGCATCCGTCACTTTACGGAGCAATTCAATTCAATTCCAGTGCTAGTGCTTGGCCTATTTAATGAAAAATAGGCAGGTCGCTCTCGAAAGCTTCCTTTAAACAGTCGTCGTATCTCGTGAACGCGGTTTGACGGATGATGAGGACCACGTGCAGCAGCGCCCCCATCCGGTGGTCCACCCCCACACAGCTCGATTTTTTCATTTCAAAAACTCAACTCGATTTCGGTCACCGCGTTGCTCTGCATAAATACGTACGACGTCCCATAGTGATGGCGCATGTCTTTGCCAACGCGTGATTTTCCCACGAAAAGCCAGGACGCGCCCAGACACGAGGTGGTAGGGGGAGATAAAAACGCACCAAAAATATTCGCCCGGAACTCGCGCGACACAACACACTTTTCAATTTGGCTTTAACGAACACCACCAACCCAACCCAACCACCGTCATGATTCACCACCTCGCAACGATGACCGAAGACCGCAAGCGCCACGTGTACATCATTGCGCGCCTTTTGCATGAAAGCGCGGCCAAAGCCAATGTGCCCACCTCGGTCGTCTCCCAAAAGCTGCACCGCGTCGCAACCAAGATGGAAGTCCAGCTCCACCGCGCGACGCACGGCCGCAAGCTCGGCGAAGACGCGATCCGTAAGCACTTGGTCGTTCTCGCGTCGCGTGCTTGCCGCAGTGCCGCCTAATTTGTGCCGTGAGCGTTGTCGTCCTATTTACGCGTCTCTAATGCGCCAATCCATACATTAATTTATATTTATACCCAATTTTTTTTGAGTGTTTGGTCTATGCGCATCGCGCCTGTTCCTTGACCACGAGCGACGAGGCAGCCGTGGATATCGAAGAGAGAAGCACGAGTGAACGCGCTGGTCGACGTAGAGCCGTGCGACGAGAGAAAAGACGCCTCTTTCCTCTACTGTATGTGCGGTCGTTGGAGCGAATTCGCCCCCTTTTTATGGCGCTAGTACGTGTCTTTGAAGCGGAGACCACACCGACTCTGTCGGAAAAAGTCAAGCGACTAGGATTATGTCATTATGTCCATGGTATAGAAATATCGCTGTTGCGCTTGCAGAATCGGAAAAATGAAACAGAGGCGTCGACGGTGGATGGAAGAGAGGACATACATAGAGCAGCTCTGAAACTCTGGGGTGTGCCTTCAATGAACTCGAGCGATGGTACACCTAGATTTAGCCAGTGGCTGCTCTGGATGCCTCAAAGCGTAGGCGGGTGCATGGCCAAGATCTGCACAAGATAGACGACTGATGCGTCAATAAACGGCCGCTCACACCGGTATCTTGGGCCACACAATACGTACTGCAAGCTCGTGGCTCGACCTCTGGGTTGTCGTGCCTGGCTTGGGGTTGGGTGAGGGAAGTGAAAACCACCGAAACCTTGACACCAGGACCCCGAACGCGAACGCACTCACGTCTTCTCTTCGTGTTAACGACGATGTGAATGCCAACGGAAGCAAAACCAAGTCGGTTCGTTAGGATGGATGCAGTCTTCAGAAATTGTTGGCTTTAGCGAAAACGGACACGGAATTCTCATATCCGATGGACGCTAAAAATCGCATTTTTGGAGCTCGCGCTGGAGCGTTCAGGTGTACGAGGCGTCGCTAAGCCATCGAGCGCCGAGTCCCGCCGAACGCATACCAAGAGCTCTCGATCACTGCTGACGTCGCAGCAAAGGAGTACCCACCGCCAACGAACAAAATGATAGATGGTGGCACTAGAGACACGTGGTTGAAGCAACTTGTGATACACGTTGTCGTTGGTGTCGCATTTTTACGCATGTGGGTAGACAGCCGCACGCGTCGTGCGGTCGCCGCGTCACGGCCACACACGACTCGATTGCATGTTTTCGTCGAAACCCTTCTTGTAGTGATTGAAAGGAGCGACTATACAAGGGTAGCGACATAAAAGACGCTTTCCCTCCCAGCGCTCGTAAGAAACACGGCTCGGTGTCGATTTTGCGGGAAAAAAGCGCTCCAGTACATCGTTATAACAAGCGCCACGATCATTTGCCAACGTGCACCCGGTATTTGATTCGACAAGTCCACTGAAAATGCCGATTGCGTTTCACCGCTCCAACTTGAATGAAGACCGGAAGCGGCACGTGTATATCATTGCGCGCCTCCTGCACTCGAGCGCGTCCAAGACGGCTCTGCCCGTGCAAATGGTCGCGAAGAAGCTTCTCGGACTCGCGATCAAGATGGAAGCCCAACTCTTCGTCATGACGCATGGCCGGGCTCTAAGCGAAGACGCAATTCGTCGCCACTTGCTGTACCTGGCGGGCCGCGCGTTTCGAACGCGGTTTCAGACGCGCAACCATGTCGTCAAGCTTTGAGAACCGCGCGGATCGAGCCTACTAATGTATTTATTTATGCATACCGGTCATGTCGTCAATACCAGTCTACAGCGATGGCACACCGTTTTCTTATGTAAAATGGATGAACCATCGAGGTGCATATGTCCATTCTGCGGGCATCACTCCGAGCCGACCACCTTTAGCTTTTGAACCAACATGGACGTCGTGCAAGAAGGTCGGGGGCTCTCGACCTTCTTACTTGCAAGTATGCGTTCCGTCTCCAGCCTTGTACTGCCGTTGGCTTGCAACTAGGTCATTTCCGCAGTACGGAACTGGACGAGCTGAAAGGGCGCGAAAAAATGAAGCATTCATCGACAATATCTAGCCGCCTTTATCGCTTGTCGTGGCGCCCAACGCTCTCCCTGACGACCGTAGTATGCAAGCTACCTCGTTCGTCGTACTAGTACGATACTGGAACAAGGCCACAAACGCTCCTCGCTTGGCGCACCGGCCACGCCTCACGCGCAGGAAACTATCTCTTGCATGTAATATAACTCAGCTCAACAGCAAGCCTTTCGACCTGCGCCTTTGTGCTACAATTGTATCGACGTGCTGCAACGAGGCGCCGCCATCCGAGTTGTCAAGACTGACACCGGCGCGCTTTCCAGCATCTCAAACGACAGACACGACACGACTTGGACACACACAATCACTGAATCAATCACTCAATCAATCAACTGTCTTCGGCGTTGGAATCAAAGGAGCGAAACGAACTCAGAGACGTTGCACAACGCCTGAATGCGTGGGAGTTGGCACCAGCACTTGGTCGCTGGGAGTGAGCTGCGCACTTGTGTAAACGACGAGACATTGCTGTTGTTGACATTAGGTATTGCAATTAGATTATAAATATATGGTGGACTTTCTAAAGAGCTCGTGAGGCGTCGCCGGTGCGTCAGCGAGGAGCGTTGGTGGTCGTGATTCGAGATTGTGCGAGGGACCAGGTAGCGTGCACACCAGGGGTCGTCGCGGAGAGCGACCAGCGACGCGTCAAGAGATGGCACCTCATCGCGACGACCCAAGCGCCGGACGTGCAGTCTTGCGATAGTAGCTGCCTGGATCGCGAGCGGGAGGCAGGTCGAGAGGCTTGTCGCAGTCTCGACTCTGCATCGATAATCGCACCGAGTGTATATACACGTATCGACGGTCCGTGGGGCACAAGACGGTGCATAGGCAACGGCGTCTGACGTGCCGCCAGGCGTTTTCTTTTCCTCCGTGTTTTCTTGCGTCGCACTGGTCGCAGTGTGCGGGTTCAATTTCCTCCAGAACATGCATTTCAAACTGTCCTACCCCACGAGGGAAGGCGGTAGCATGTGCAACGCAACGACAACGTCGCGTCGTCTGTGGCCCGAGCTCAAAAACAGGCGCGGCTGCAATAGATACGCGGCGCAGTTTGTATACAAACTTCAAGTCTCTTTGGGGTATAAACAGGTGCCCAACGGTGCGTTTTTCAGCACACATCATCACGGTGGTTGCCGTGGGTTGCATTTTCCAATCTCCTATCCCACGAGAATACACCATGCCGATCGTCATGCACCGCAGCGCGTCGCTCAACGACGACCGGAAGCGTCACATTTACATCATCGCGCGGCTCTTGCACTCGAGCGCCGCCAAGTCGAGCACGATGCAGCACCTCCAGTCGACCACTGTCGTCTCCAAGAAGGTGCTCCGCTTGGCCGCCAAGATGGAGCAGCAGCTGTATGACACCACGTACGGCCGCAGCCTGAGCGAAGACGCTATCAAATACCACCTCAAATACCTCGCGGGCCGCGCCTGCAGTGCACGCCTCCCGCCGCCGCCGCCGAGCCGCGTCTTTCAGTTCTAAGAAGGCACGACCTTATATAATCTTATTTATTATTTGTCCACACAATAATAATGTCATGTCCTCACGTTATCTGATTCTTGTACAAGGCAGGATGGCAGCACTGGGATGGCTGTGGCGTCCACACCTGTCCTTTGCCTATGGCATCACTAAACATCCGCTACAGACGAGACGACGATGGACCGCCTGGAACCGCCATGGGCAGTCGATCCTTCCGGCGCCATCATCGCCATGCTTCACTTTCGAAGCCGTCAAGCCAGCCCTGCAATACCTGGTATAGCGTGTCAAGTCGAGTGGGGCACTCTTGGTGTACACACCGTGGATAGCAACGACACAAGGTAGTGCGGAACTGATACACATATCAATGCAACTGCATTGAGCTTACAGCCAGTAGTGCTGTGCTCATCGAAGCAAATAAACGTCATATCTATCTATCTATCTATCTATCTATCTATCTATCTATCTATCTATCTATCTATCTATCTATCTATCTATCTATCTATCTATCTATCTATCTATCTATCTATCTATCTATCTATCTATCTATCTATCTATCTATCTATCTATCAAGCGAGAGAACGAACCTAGAGTCGCTTAACGCCTTGATCCGATATTGCCACGAGTGCAGTTGAGCCCCACGCAAATCCACAAGGTTGTTTGTTATAGAGCTGCATTAGTAGTACGAACGATTCGCTCCGGTAAAGCTCTTGTGCTTTGACTCGGCTCGACCATAATTGTAGCACGCTGCATGTATTATTCTTCAATGCATTTCCCAAAAGCGAGGTTAGAGCACCGCCAGTAGCTACGTTGACGCCCATGACGCGTGATGACCGCCTTGGACACTGGCCGGCATCGCTTCGTGGGCCGTCGACGGGTAGCTCGCGTGGATTTCGCTGTATTTGTTGAGCAAGTTGGCGCCAGCCGAAATGGGCGGGTACTAAATTCGATGGACTACGCGACGGCTTTGTTGTAGGAGGATGGATACCTTGGCCGGCGTCGCTGCATCCACGCACGACGGAAGACACGTGACGTTGCAATGGAAATTGGGCTCGAAAAAGAAGGGCACTGAGTAGCGCTCGCGGCCCGTGCTGTTGACGACGCGGTGCCGCGTCGATCGGAAGAGGCCATTCGTCCAGCGCTCTAGCCCTCCAAATTGGCCAAGTTGTCGTCATTATCCTACCCGCGAGGTCGCCAACATTGACGATGAAAGCGTCTTGGACGTACGGCACGTCGACCCAGTGGCCGTCACGACCTTCGATCTGCAAGCCCGGCTCCGTGTCGGTCGAGAGGAGCGTGAGCAAGCCAAAGTCCGAGTGCGCGCCGCATGCAATGACGCCGTTCGCGAGGTTCGACGCCTCTGCGTTGTAGTGCAGCATGCGCAGCACCGTCATGGGACTACAATTGGTGGCTGGATCAGGAGGGGTAAGGACCACGAGCGACGACGTATTACCGGTCAAACATGCCGGGTGCGTCAAAGGCGCCGGGCGCGCCGGCGGCCGTCGCCATGACGCGTGCCACGTGCAAGCCCAAGTGGCTCATCGCATCAAAGTACGTGGTCGTGATCGTCTTGAAGTGCGGCAGGATGGCGGCGTCGGGAAACACATTGCATGTGTCGTGGAGCGGAAGATGCACCTCGTCCGGCAGCGACTCGCGGCAGACATGGTACGCTTCCTTCGTATCGCCCTTCGTCTGGTGTGCAGGGTCCAGCGTCTCTTCGTACATGGGCGCCCATCCGCGCATGTTCTTGTCCGCGACCGCCTTGCGCTTCTCGGCGATCGGCAGGGCAAAGAAGGCCGCCATCTGCTTGTACACATCGCGCTGGAGCTGCCGGGGCACGCCATGCCCGCGCAAGTAGAAGAAGCCGACGTCCATACACGCCTACAGGAAGCATGTAGCGCCATCGCCAGGACGCGCGTCGACCTGGCGGAGCTGCATGGCGGCCTGCGGCCCGAAGCAGTCGACGATGGGGACCCTCATGGGATTGGAAGTGGCAACCAAGATATTTCGAATCGCATGTGATTGGGTGAAATCCAAGGCGAAAGCAACCAATCCGCGACCACACCAGGTGTGCGGGCTTCAACCTCGCTTTGCGTGGGCAATCGAACAAGTACTAGAGCCAATGTGTGCACAATCGTGCGCAAGTTGAGGGGTCAATGAATGTATGTGGAACGTGTGCTTCTACGGTGTTGCTATCTAATGCAACGTTCAAGTGTCTATTTTGGTTGCGACTGGCAGCTATCCAGCTATCCAACGAGCCCAAGCACTGTAAGCTCACGCCACCTCGCTCTGCAGCGAAAGACTATCTAGCTCATGCACAACGCATGTAGCACCGTAGTGCATGTCTTCTTGTTCATTTAGCCAAGCTGCCCTGATGCTGCCTGTTGGTCGAGAGTCGGCGTAGAATCATGCGCCGTCTGCTGGCGTTGTGACGGGAAAACCGTTCGGTTCGAACCGTGAGCCGCGCTGCACTCCCTTTTGTACCTCACGTCCCTTTTGTCTCTCCACGTGTCGAGCCTCTGTGTACATCATGTGTGTACATGGTGGACATGGCGCCATCACTTCGTTCGTCGCGCCAAAATTCAAATGTGCTGTTTTCAACTCCTTTATCTGTTTTATTCACTTTTACATACAACTGCACAGTGATGGAAAGCATCACAGTGTTTCAAACACATGCCGCTGACCTCGTCGCCGGATACTGTCCGGTTATGCATGGTTTGAACCGCGACATTATGTCCAATGAGACACCAAGTGGGTGCGTATACGCTTCCTGATTGGCGGATTTGATGCATCGTGTTTTTAATCGCTGCGATGAATTACGCGGGATAATGAAGCTTGGGATTTGTATGCTGCGGTGGAAAATCCAAAAAATGAAAAAATAAAAATCAATGCACGGTGTTCGTCAGTCAGCAATTGGCCTCGTCCGCGCGCGAAAGCAGATCCGAGCAACATGGGCGACGTCGACCGGAAGCGGAAGCGCGGGGCCCTCGAGGACATCAGCAACAAGGGCCGACCGAACCTCCGCATGACGACCCGCCATGCCATGAAGGCCGAGCCGCGGAACGTCGTGCAGGTCGAGCCGCAGGATGCCATCAAGCATCCTCGGACCGAG